ATCCACTGAGCCAAACCGGTCAGGGCTCTACATATTTTTAAAAAGGTTTTATTTTAGATCAGTTGTTTTAGGTTCACAGCAAAATCGAGGGTAAGATACAGAGATGTCTAATTTGTGGTTAACGAAAAGAACTTCACTTTTGTGTAAGTAAACCTATTACATGCTAGGTGCAGAATGTACTCTATCCCAGTTAAGCTCCTCAAAACCACGAGAGAGTGTAAATCATTTAAGACGTTATTTCGCAGACAAGGAAACTAAGATGGAGGAGAACTGAGGCAACTTTCCTAGTGACATTCAGGGCGGCGATTTCAACCCAGACCTGCTGCCATCTCACCCTTTCCCTCTGCACCACTCCCCTCTAGTGCTAGCCAGGCCCCTGCAGGCCTGGGCTGCATCACCCCTGTCCGCGCGCCTCACCTGGCCCGGGAAGTTAGCCGAGTTGGTTTTTCTTTAGGAAAGGAACAGAGTATTTCAGTATTTTGGGGTTTTTTTTTTAGAGAACTGTGCGCGAGGAAACAAATCCAGAGAATGTCAGCTTGCTTAGTACATCCCTTCGGATAGACTCTGAACATCATTTGAGACGCCGGTGGCAAGTCTCTTCCCGACCAAGAAAATAGAAAAGAAAGTAAAATTAAAAAAAAAAAATCTTTGCATCTCCAAGGCGACGAGATGGCTGCCTCGGGTCTCCCGCGCGCCGGGATGACGTCACCGGCGAGGCCGTCTGACGTCGGCGCGTCCTGCCGCCATCTTTGTCGCTGGCACAGCGGGCTTGGCGCAGCGGCCGAGACCTGGAAGAGGAGCCGTGACGTGCGGGAAACCATTACAACATCACTGAGGCCGCGCTCTCCGGCCGCCGCCGCCGCCCCCGCCCTTGCCTCCGGTGAGTTCAGGGCGGCGAACTCCGGGGTGTGTCCCCCATGGATGCTCGGTACGGGGGTGGCCCGCGGTGGGTTGGGAGGTGGGCGGAGGCGGCCGGTTAGGGAGGCCCCAGGCCAGGGGTGTGGCCGGGAGGGGCCGGAGTCCGAGGGGCGAGCCAGCCCTCGCCGCTGGGCGTTGTTCCCTGAGCCTGGGACGGGCCCGGCAGCTGAAGGGGAGAGGGAGCCCCCGTGATGGGCACACCTCGCCCGGCTCCCCCGGTGTGAGGTTGAGAGTCATTCTCCCCCACCCCGTCAAGGAGGGACGGGTCTCCCGAGCCCTGGCACCTGGTAAAGAGCAGGAACTCCTGCACTTGAGGGGAAGAGCCCCGCTGGCGTGGCCGGGTGGTTCAGCGTCCACCTGTGAACCCGAGGTCACGGTTCGATCCCCGCCATCAGAGTGTATGCCCTGTACTTCTTTCTTAACAGAGTTAAACTGGAGTCACCCTTCCCAGACTTCTAGACACAATTAGAAAATGGCTGTGAAGAGAGGAAAGAGTTAGAATTCCCCCAGGTTCACAGATGAAGATACAATTTTAATCTTGGGCCAGGGTCCTGAATTGCAACCTCTTTTCCCCATCCGAGAGAGAGAGAGAGGAGAGAGGAGAGAGAGATGGGGAGGAAAAACCTTCAGAACTGGCCCGATGTGAAAGAGGGGGGAGAATTGGGGATAAATCTTAGCCCGGAATTTTTCCATTTTGGATTTAGCAGGAAGGGTCTGGTTTGAGAAAGGCTGTAGATGAATTAAGCCCGAGGCAACGAAACCAGTACTTCCTGGTACTTCCTAATTCTTTGAATCCAGAGAATTTATTCCTGCAGTTTGTTCTCCATGGTGTTTAGGGCTTTTACTGAACACACTTGGCCGCTTCATTATGAAGCAACGTGAATAAAGCATGAATGCTTCATTAAACTTTGAGTTTTTAGAAAGAAGTGTTTTTTAAATGTCAGACACTTATAGTCAATGTAATTTTTTAAAATAAAACGCAGTAAGTTTAGGAAAGGCAGAATGACAAGGTGGTCTCAATGAGGAACAGTTTAAATTATTAATAACCTTCGTGTCGGACTTCTCTTGCTTAGCCTCAGGGTACACTTACAAAGTAATAATAGCAGCAGATGAAGGAGATGCGGCTGTAAGGTGAAAAGTGTAACACATTCCAGTGATGACTAAGCTGGTGGTAAGGTGAGACCTGTTTGCAGGTATCTTCACAGTTTAAACGCCCAAGGAAGCAAAAGGATAGTGTGTTCTGCAAACCGCCTCACTGAAAGTTGGATGGTGAAATTAATAAAAGCTAACATTCCGTGAATTAAGAGACTCAAGAAAGTCCAGTATATTTTAGGCTCAGGTTTGAACCAAGCTGAACAAGGAATGAATAAAATAGAATATGCTCTCCCTTTTTCCTTCTTTGCTTCCTTCTAGGTTTAAGTTTTCTAGAGTTTATTGGTATTTCAGTTAAAAATTAGATGTAAAACTTTGAGCTTTCTTACTGTATAATACTAACAAATCACCTTGTAGTCTGCCATATTTAAGTGAAATTACAGGTGTGTCTGTTATAATTAGGTGTCTTTTTTAATTTCTTATGAGCTGAATGATACCTGAACATGCTGTTGACTTTGCATTATTATTGAAATATCTGATTAGCACTTCTTACCCTTGTAATAAAAGATGGCTGGAATAACTTGGTTAACTCTTTGGCTAGTTTTTCAGTATAAACACCAAACTGTGTAAAGCTCAACTTTCAGTGAAAAGAAGGGAGTTAGTGGCCTCTTCAACTCTTAATTTAGCTGCCATTTCCCAGAGAGCCATTCGAAATTAAAACTCTATTAATATTTTTCTGGCCTTATTTTCTTTAGGGCGACTGGAAGGAGGGAGAAGTAGAAGGAGAGAAAGGACTTTCACAATCTATATTTAGTAGAAACTAGGTTATGTTAAATCTAGATGTATAATCCTGTGTGGGGAGGCCTTCTCTGAAGTGCAGTGACATGACTCCCTGGGCTAGGACAAGTGAAAGTTATTGTGTGCTTTGACCGTGGCAGCTGTGTTTTTTAACAATGCCCCTAGGCCATGTTGCAATCCTCAGAACAGCCCGGACTTGTCTTAGGCTGGTAGAAGGGTAGGGTGAGCTCAAACCCTGACGGTTTTGCTTTTTGCTGCGGCTCTTCTGAAGGAACAATGTGTTTTTCCCTCCAGGAGCTTGATTTTTGAGAAACTGATAACTTGATTTTTTTTTTCTTGATTTCTATCTTGGCTGCTTTTTCTTTAGCTTCTAATGCAGACAATAGTTTTCACCATCCTATATTTTGGAGAATCTGGTTATGCCCATCTCTGGCATGTGAGTAAGTGCATCTCATTTTTAAAAATATATACAAATGTAATTTTTCGAAGTGAAATTCACATAACAAAATTAACCATTTAAAAGTGAGCAGTTAAAAAAAACACACACACTGAGGGGTAGGGGAGGCCGGGGGAATGTCAAGGGCGGGGGGAGAGGAAACATGTAATACTAAGCAATAAAAAAAAAATAAAAGTGAGCAGTTCAGTGGCACTTCATACATTCACAATGTTGTGCACCCACCACCTCATATTTGTTTTTGTATAGACTATTTTCATTTTTCTTGGAATTTAGGCAGGAATTGACTTGATACAATTATTTCCCTGTCAGTGCGTGTGAGGGATACTCCATTACTGGTGTTTACAACAGTGTGAGCTAAGAGAGTGATATGTTTTCCCCTTCTAAGCCCGGAGATCCTTCCTTCCTTTCTTCCTTCCTTCCTTCCTTCCTCCCTCCCTCCCTCCATCCCTCCCTCTCCTGAGGATATTTTTTTCATTGCTTTTCTGAGAGAGTGGAAGGGAGGGAGGGAGGGAAGAGGAGACAAAGAAAGACAAAGAAAGACAAAGAGAGAAACATCCACTGGTTGCCTCCTGCACTCGCCCCACATCCACTGCCGGGTGGAGGAGTGGGAAGGGGGGAAAGGGGAGTGAACCCTCAACCCAGGTACTTGCCCTCGACCAGGAATGGAACTCAAGACCCTTGGTCTGGGGGATGGTGCTCTAACTACTAATCCACACTGGCCAGGGAAGAGCAGGGATTCTTAATTTAGAATCTAAGATTACTTTTGGTTTTCTCCCCTGAAATTTTGTGGGTTGATATATTAATCTCTTGTTAAGAACACCTAATGCTCACAATAAATAGGACAGAAATATATTCCTTGATAGTGAAATTTGTTAGGGGAAGTAATGAAATGTGTGGGTCATTAATAAAGGTAGGATTTAAGATTAGGTTAATTTAATGTTTAACAGGTTGTATGGAAAACTGTTAAGAATTTAACATGTGGCCCACTGCATGGGAGAACATATTTGCCAATGTTATCACCAATAAGGGTTTAATCTCCAGCATTTATAGGGAACTCATACAACTTAATAAAAGGAAGATAAACAATCCAATCAAAAAATGGGCAAAGGACCTAAATAGACACTTTTTAAAAGAGGACATTCAGAAAGCCAAGAGACTTATGAAAACATGCTCATAGTCATTATTCATCCGAGAAATGCAAATCAAAACAACAATGAGGTATCATCTCACACCTGTCAGAATGGCTATCAACAAATCAATAAACGACAAGTGCTGGAGAGGATGCGGAGAAAAGGGAACACTCGTGCACTGCTGGTGGGAATGCAGACTGGTGCAGCCACTGTAGAGAACAGTATGGAGTTTCCTCAAAAAACTAAAAATGGAACTCCCATTTGACCCTGTGATCCCACTTCTAGGAATATATCCCAAGAAACCAGAAACACCAATCAGAAAGGATATATGCATCCTTATGTTCATAGCAGCACAATTTACCATAGCGAAGATCTGGAAACAGCCTAAGTGCCCATCAGCAGATGAATGGATTAGAAAACTGTGGTGCATCTACACAATGGAATACTATGCTGCTGTAAAAAAGAAGGAATTCTTACCATTTGCAGCAGCATGGATGGAACTGGAGAGCATTATGCTAAGTGAAATAAGCTAGTCAATGAAAGAAAAATACCACATGATCTCACTCATTTATGGATAATAAAGACCATTATAAACTGATGAACAAAAATAGATACAGAGGCAGAGCAGCATCGAACAGACTGTCAAACTAACGCAGGAAGGCCAGGGAGGGTTTGAGGGCGGGAGGGGGAAAAAGGGAGACATATGTAATACTCTGTAATACTTTTAAGCAATTTAAAAAAAAACCATGTGGGTAAAAAAAAAAAATTAAAAAAAAGAATTTAATGTGTGTAAGTGTCTGAGAGCATTAAGCAAACAAGGATTTTTGTACCATTTTTCAAAGAAACTTGGTGAAAAATTCCAAGCAGATTTTGTTGTTAAATCTTAAGCAAGTTTTAAGTTTTGATGATCCTATAGGACTTAGAATGGCATAATAATAGACAGACCACAACAGCCTTGAGCTACGGCCCTTCTGTTAGGCTCTCGTAATCATTTCTGTAGATTGGTTTTTCTCTTTGTACATGTAAGTCCTTAGTTGGTAACTTCAGATTTATTCCAAGTCTTTTATGTGAAGGACTCCTTTCTTCAATTTGCCCACTCCACATTTAGTTTACATTGTGAATGGATTAAACGATTATACATTCTTTGAATTTTTGCTAGAAAGGCGTTACGAAAATATTATGTTAGGCAAGCCTCTGCTGCAGACTAATTATAACAAATGCAATCAAAAGAAATTTCTGTATTCTCTATTTGTTGTGAGCTCTAGCTCACTTCTTTTAACAAGGTAATTCAGTGAAATTCTGATAAAATCTATTGTATGAGGACTAAATAGTAAGGTTGCTCTTTGGAAAGATAACAGATAAGTCTAATTTCTCTTAGGTTGTCCAAGCAGCACATTTTAGAGATGATTTGAGCTTAGCTTTTTTCAATATTTTATGTTTTCTGACTCTTTCTCCTTTTCCTTATTACATTGATTTGTTTAGTGTGTAAGTCTTTTCTCTCATCCATATTTACTATTGTTAGCCCAATGTGTTAATCATTCAGGTTTGCCAAATATATTATCACCTGTGTTGTTTTGATCTGACAGTAATGAACAGGTACCAGGGCATCTGTCCTAAATTTGGTAATTAGTATTGTTAATTATGGTGGTAAAAAAGAAGATACTCAGTTTTGAGTGCAGAAGGAATATTATTAAAAGAAAATTTTAATATATTAGAAGACGTCAGGTATGTTAGACTAAAGCAGTGATGGCAAACCAGTGATGGCAGTGATAGTGGTAAGGAAGAAGGCACTCGTTTTTGAATACAGGAGTTCTAATATGTAAATGTTCTTTATCCAAGTTATTTATGTCCAGCAAGGCATACATTATTTTAAGAAAGGAATTCTTTTCTCTTGCTGTAGGTGCACATTAAAGAGCCAACACCATGACTGACTCCAAGTACTTCACAACCAATAAAAAAGGTAAGTATGCGAACCTGATCAAAAAGCATTGAGATCCTTCAAAAGTTATGGTGTAAGATTGTGGTGTTCCTGACCTCTTCAGACATGCATGTTACGGACAGTCTCATTGGAGATCTACTACTCCTACAGAAAAGTGTATTGAGGAAATTAAAGTATAGGTATTTATTTGTTTGTTTATTTATTTAAATCCTCATCGAGGAAGGGGGCAGGGGGAGAAAAACATCGGTCTGAAAGAGAAATATTGATCAGTTGCCTTCCGTACCCGCCCCAACTGGGAATGGAACCAGCAATCCAGGTATGTTCCCTCACTGGGAATCGAAGCAGTAACCTTTCAGTGCACACAGGACGACACTCAACCAACTGCCACTCCAGCTAGGCTAAAGTATAGGGTTTTAATTTGATTTGAAGGTTTTGTCTCAGTAAAAGGAAGGGATCCAACATTTATCCATTGAAGATTGATAGATTCTGAGCATTTTTGTTCTTTTTCAATTTTTTACTTGGAAATATACATTTTTGTAATAAGGAATACTATTAAATATAGGTATATAAAAAGTAAAAATGAAAGTTCTCTCCCTCCTTATTCCTGTTCTTGAGGGGAATTCGGTGTGTATTCTCAATCTTTTTCTATGCATATACATGCATATATTAATACATAAGATTTTTAAAAATGTTTTTATTGATTTCAGAGTGGAAGAGAGAGCGGGAGAGAGAGAGAAACATCAATGATGAGAGAGAATCATTGATCAGCTGCTTCCTGCATGTCCCCTACTGGGGATTGAGCCCACAACCCGGGCATGTGCCCTTGACTAGAATTAAACCTGGACCCTTCAGTCTGCAGGCCAATGCCTTCTCAAATGTACCTTTTCTCCTCTCCTCCAGTAGCTAAAATAGGACAGCTTCTCTGCCTGGAATTTCTCTTTCTGGTTTCCCTTGTGATGTTTACTGGCCTTAGCCTCCTGACTGTCTCTAGATTTAACTAAGTGGTCTTGAAAAACATGCTGCGGTGTCCCTCTACTTCGATTTATTCATTTATTTAGTAAATATTTATTTATGAGTCCCATTCTCTACCCTAACAGTGGTGGAGTTTTTTTTTATTTTTATTAAATATCCTAATTTCCTCTCTAAGTCAGAGTAGATGCAAAAGGACACTTAATATTCAGTTTCTAAATATTATTTCCCACTAAAAGGAATTAGGACTCCTTGGAGAAATGACTGATTCCAAGGCTGGGTCAAGGGAAAGTACAGGAACATGAACATCTTAGGCCAGAAAGCAAAAGGAAGGGAGTACTCAAAAAATGATGGCGCATGTCAAGGAGCAGTATACTTTGAAGGGGCTTCCACTGGCTAACTTTGAGATAACTTGAGAATTTTAAAAAGTGATCAAAGAAGTGAATTGTAAACCATTGAATATATATGTACACATAAATTGTAGTTGTAGTTGATTCAGGCAAGAGTCATCAGTGAATCCTAAAGTAACTGGCAGGTGAAAGTTTGATGAGGAATAGGATATTTAAATAGTCTCCAAAGTGTCCTTTACAGTGTCAGGACCTGGCAATTGCCACTTTAACCAAGTATTCGGTGTTAACATACTAATAATGGAACAAATTAACATAATTTTCCTCTTGTAATGCACTGAGTAGACCATACCGTCATTTATGAATTATGCCTGCCAAAATGCCTAACATCAGTATAATCATGAAGGAACACCAATGAGAAACCAAAGCTGAGAACATGCTATAAAATAACTGGCTTTGCCGAAACCAGTTTGGTTCAGTGGATGGAGCGTCGGCCTGCGGACTAAAGGGTCCCAGGTTCGATTCCGGTCAAGGGCATGTACCTGGGTTGCAGGCACATCCCCAGTGGGGTATGTGCAGGAGGCGGCTGATCGATGTTTCTGACTCTCTGTCTCTCTCCCTTCCTCTCTGTAAAAAATCAATAAAATATAAAAAAATAAAATAAAATAACTGGCTTTAAAACAGAAGTCATTATCATGAAAGACAAAGGCTGAAGAACCGTTTCAGGTTAAAGGAGACTAAATAGACATGACAATAAATGTAAAGCATGATCCTGAATTGGATCTTGGTCTAAGGGGAATGGGTATAAAATTGCTATAAAGGACATTATCAAAATCTGTGAGTAAGGTCTGTATGATGATAATGTATCAGGGTTAAATTTCCTGATTCTGATCATTGTATTATGTTTATGTAAGATAACTCTTTGTTCTTAGAGATTATACACTGACATATTTAAAGCTAAAGAGATGTGATGTCTGCAGCTTCCTATTAAAATGATTCAGAAAAAAACTTGTAAATTTATAGAAAGCATGATAAAACAACTGTGGCATAATGTTAACAATTGGGGAATCTTGTAATGTTAATATTGCAATGATCCAGAAAAGAAAAAATAAAAGTAGGAGGGCACATTATAGTGACCTATAGTGAGCAAGGAACATCAGGAGATTTTCTAGAAGGCACAAGCATATCTGTCCTTTCATTTGGAGTTTACAGTAAACAAGCTCTTCTATCATAATACAGGAAGCTCTATAGTTAGTTGCCTAATTATATCAACTACCTACTAGTCAGTGGCTTTCAACCTTACCTACACGTTGGAGTTACCTTGTGAATTTAAAACAATACTGATGTACAGGTTTCCTACCCAGATATCCTGATTTCATTGTTCTGG